CAAACCACTAGCTCACCGACTTCCCGGGGTAGATACCGATGAATAACCTTCACGTCGTTCGTACTATAAAACCCTTTATGGTACTGCGTAACAAACGCTACCAGACCATCTTCGACAAAGACATTCCGGTGGCCTCCGCTGTCAGTATTGTAGTGCCGAATGCTTAACAGCTCTGGTGCCCGTGCAGGCTGGCCTCCGCTGACGTGGACAGCAATGGCTAGCTTCTCGCGGAAATGGGCTACCCGTTGGAGATAACTGTGCACATTCGACATTCGGAGCCGGCCGGCACTAGACTCGATGAAACGATGCTGGAGTGGTCTCTCGTTTCGGACCCGATTCACCATCCATTCGCTACCGGCCACAGGCCATACCGTGCGAGTGTCTTTTAGAAAGCTCCACCCGTGCGCGGTCTCGGTGGGATCATCATAGATAGCCTGCCACGGGATCGTGGGAACTGAGCTAGCCTGACTAAACAGGAGCTCTTCGTGTAGTATCTGGAGTGTGGAGCTTACGAGGCCGTGGGTAAAGCCGCGGAAGTCACCCATAGTGAAACTGTACTGTTGATATAACAGCTGGTCCTGGTTCATCCAGCCAACATGGCCTGTGGCGGTGCTGTTATAATGGATCTTCAAGCCGTAGGTGCGGAGATCTAACAGCCACTGCATTGGACTGTTAGTGCCGCGGACCATAAACTGGCTGACCATCTCGGTCACCCACTCCCGGAATGATCGTTGGCTGTGGCCCTGTGTGTGGCCCTGTGTGTGGCCCTGGCTGAACTGAATAAAGTGCGATGACGGAGGTGTGCCCTGATCTAGGCCACTATCAAAGTTGTAAAACGAATCGTCCGTTGTTTGCGTTAAAAATGTGAAATCAGGTGAATCTAACGGACTTTCCGTATCCCATTCGCCAGCCATCTGATGCGTAGCTAGTTGGTGGATCATCTTCTCGGCCGTTGGGTCTAGCTTTAATGCTTTGTGGACCACCATAAACCGGGCAATCTTAATCACTTTTGACAAGATTGGGGGATAGCTCTGGGCAGTGCCCCAGCCTGCCTCTCCACGTCCAAGCACCGCGCTAGCGCAGATGAGCGCGCTCTCATAGTCCTCGACCTTAGTTCGGTGGTTCAATAGCTCAATGCAAAAATCCAGACAGGCGGAGTCGAGGGGTGTGAGCTGAAAGGGTGATTCGCTAGTGACTTGGTCCTGTTGTTCCTCGGAATCACTTCCTGATTGCACACTGCTTTGGTCCGAACTGCTCAGGTCTTCACTGCCCTGGTCTAGATCTTCACTGCCCTGGCCGGCGTTGGAATGGCCTGCCATGCCCTGGCCTGTGTTGGAAAGGCCTGCCCTGCCCTGGCCTGTGTTGGGATGGCCTGTGTTGGAAAGGCCTGTGTTGGAATGGCCTGCCCTGCCCTGGCCGGCGTTGGAATGGCCTGCTCTGCCCTGGCCTACGATGGGTGAGGCACTAAGCTCTGCCTGGGCTAGTCTCCATAATGTGGCCCATGTCGCTCGCTGGCGTTTGGAAAACCTGTAGTGGGGGCTAGCCCAATCATGTGGGGCCTGCGTGCGCGTGAAAAACATGAGAATCTGCTGCCACGGGATCGTGTGTCGCTTAACATTATCACCATCCATATATGCTTGTAGTGGTTGATGTGGCAGGCGATCCCGCTCAGTCCGAACAGCCTCGCACCGAATGGTGTGGCTCGTTTTGGTGCAGATCAACTGGCTGATGCGAGCTACAGTGGCCATTGAATTCCAAATTGTATAGGCGGCCTGCTCGGTCTGATCGGGCGCTTCGGGATCGGGGGCTCGGACACAGTCCACTAGGTCGTGCGGGTTGATCCCCTGGAGATAGACGGCCCACTGGGTCCTCCGAAGCCATGGATTCGTCTCGTCTCGCTGGCTGGCCACGATCACCTGGGGGAGCTCTTCTCTTTCGGCATATGCTCTTTCCATCTGATCAATCACCTGACTATTATGATCAGATATTGCTAGCGAATCGGCCTCGGGAATGGCCTCGGCTCCGAGGGTTTGAACGCGGATGTAATGGGACCCTAGCCCGTGATTAAACGCACGTTGGCATCGGACGATTCGAGTGAATTGTTGGATTTGTTGCTCCGCAGCTGATGAAGTATGCTGCCGCCGACGACCGCCCCGGTTTGTAGGAGCTACCCAGCTATGATGATCACGCCAGTGAACACGCATAGTGCTAATTGACCGGGCAACGAACTGGCACATCGGGCCTTGCTCGCATAAAATGCCATCTGAATAAACAGGCAAATTAGCAACGGGCTGATTCACCACTAAGGGTGGCTGCCATTCATCACATTCTGCCGTACGCTCCCATTGTTGAACTGCCTCGGCAATTTGGCGCGCTTTCGGCTTCGGCATCCGATGATTAGCAGATTGGAGGTGGCGAGAAACCTCTTTTGGTCGAACACCATATTCACATAGCTTACATACAATCACGGGCGTGGTTGATGGCTGGTGAAAAAGCTGATGTTCCATTGTGGTAGTGGGGGTAAGTAATGAAAGAAAACAGTGAAGGATAACGAAGATGAAAGAGAGAGGAAAAGCAGAGTAGAAAGGGCGGGCAGGTTAGTGTGAGAAGAATTTCAAAATAGGCCGGGGGATCGTTTCAGCCCCCGTTACCCCACCTGCACACACTATATATAGAATACGATGATCGACATAGTGCGTTTCGGCCCGGGCCTTAGATTGACAGGTCAACCACTGATTCCCCACATATGCAGGGCTGCCACTAGCCACATAGGCTGGCCCTCAGCTCACCTAGGCAGGGCAGTCATCCCGTTTCAGTCCTTTCCCAGCCCATATAGGCTCAGCAGCCCATTAGCCAGCCAGTAAGGGCCCTCAGCCCATTCAGGCATGGCAGTCATCCCATTTCAGTCCATTCCCAGCCCATACAGGCTCAGCAGCTCATTGGCCAGCCAGGAAGGGCCCTCAGCCCATTAAGGCATGGTAGTCATCCCATTTCAGTCCATTCCCAGCCCATACAGGCTCAGCAGCTCATTGGCCAGCCAGGCAGGGCATTCACTGCCCACACAGGCTCAGCAGCCCATTGGCCAGCCAAGGAGGGCATTCATTGCCCACATAGGCTCAACACGCTATTGGCCACACAGGAAGGGCACTCAGCTCAGCCCAGGTCATTCATTGGCCATCTAGGTCGCCCAGTCATCCCATCTCAAGGCAGTCGTTGCCCACATGGGCTCAACACGCCATTGGCCAGGCAGGCAGGGCATTCAGCCTTTCCTAGGGCATTAATTGCTCATATAGCACGGCATTCATCATATATATATATATAACAATTAGCCTAATCTGGTTTGAATGGCTGAATAACATGAATATGGTGAGCAACACGAATAGCTGAGCAACATGAATGGCATATATGTTAGGAATGGCTGAATAACATGAATGGCGGAGTAACACGAATGACTGAATAACATGAATGTGGTGAGCAACACGAATAGCTGAGCAACATGAATGTGGTAAGCAACATGAATGTGGTAAGCAACATGAATGGGTGAATAACATGAATATGGTAAGCAACATGAATAGCTGAATAACATGAATGTAGTGAGCAACACGAATAGCTGAGTAATATGAATGGCTGATCAACATGAATGGGTGAATAATATGAATATGGTAAGCAACACGAACAGCTGAGCAATATGAATGGCCTAATAACGTGAATATGGTGAATAACATAAATATGGTGAATAACATAAATATGGTGAATAACATAAATATGGTGAATAACATAAATATGGTGAATAACATAAATATGGTGAATAACATAAATATAGTGAATAATATAAATATGGTGAGCAGCATAAATGCCATGCATAGTGCGAGTAACATGAATGTGGTGAAAAAAACCAATGGCTGGATCCCATGAATGGCATATATAGTGTGAATAACATGGATGGTTTGAAAGATATGAAATGGGAATGGGAGTATTGTATGGCTGTAGTGCCAAGCCTTTCTTGTCCCCCATCAAAACATCTCCCATTTTTGATCACCCTCCACCCCACATATATATGCTCCTATATTCTAAAAATTAACAGAGATAAATAAATCACTCTATATTATAACCTCTGCAAATTTCAGATCCATCAGAGGTCTGTAGCCCTCGGCAGTGGGGGTGCGAAGTTTACCTGAAGTCAGGATGCGACCCGCTTATCTTATCGTGGTGACCAAGTGGCTGCCTCAGGCCCCGGTCGCACCTCCAGATTCCCGCACCCCATCAAAATATCTCGAAAAACCCGACATTTTCAATCACCATTTTCTCGACAACCAGAGGGCTGTGCAAGCTCCGGAGCAAATGGGGGCAAATTCATATGTGCCATTATAACTTTCCAAATTTTCAGACTGATCGGAGGCCTCTAGACCAAAGGAGTCAGGGTGAGAAGTTAACCTGAAGTCAGGGTATGGACCCACTTTTCCTCCCATAGTAAAAGAAAAACCCTAACCTGGAGTCACCGTGACTCCAGGTACCCCCGTGGGATAGAGAGGTTAGCCTAGATTTCCAGGCTTCGCAGGCAGACTTGGGATGGATGCCTCGTCAATGTTGAGGTGTTGCGCGTGTGCGCGCGCGTCCTTCATTATCAAGCGAGAGGGTTGATAAGATCAGAGGGAAAGTGCGTTGTTTGTTAACAAACAAGGAGACACCCAAGTTGATGTCAACAATGTGTTTTCCGACTTCTTTCTTCTTCTCTCCTCATCACCACCATCATCATCGTCATGTAAGTTGTTGGTCCTGCATCCCCATTTTCTGGTTTTGTCATCTCTTGTGGCCTTTTAGCATCACGGCGAGCCATAGTTCTCGCAGCTGCGCGTTTTTTAGGCACAGTTTGGACGCATCTTGCGTTTGTTGACGTTGCTGGGTGGCTCGTGACGCGCGCATGCGCGCCACTTAGTCCCATCTTGGTACTTGCCACGTGTTTTGGCGCCGATCTTTGGCGCGGGTCACCCCTTTTTTTCTCAGGCACCGACCCGGTGCGTGTTTTGGTTCGCAGTAGCTAATGAAGTGGTCTTTTTGGCAGGTCTTCCTCCGAGGAGGATGTTGTTTCGCCTTCGCGCCCCCGGCTTCGCCGGCCCAGTCTGGCTTCGCAGCCAACCCCACCCCGCGACAATGTCCGAGTGGTGATCCCACAACGCTTCCGTCGGGAGGGTGGTACAGATGTGCCTCCCGATGGGGATGAGACCGATTGGTCCCAATCCGATGATGGGTTCCATTGGGTCGCTCCCTGCCGTCGCTGTTTGCGAGCGATGGTGAGGGATACCTTTATTTCGTGCGAAGGTCCGTCTGGCAGGCGCACTAAATGCCGTCGCTGCTCTGCCAATCGTCATGCCTGCATTCCGGTACGTCTCCCGTATGTGCGACGTGTTGTTCGCTAACATTCTTCGCAGGTTGACGAGCAGACTGCCGCTGACGCCCGCCTTGCGCTCTGTGCTGGGTTGGACCTTGACAATCGCACCCGGTTGCTTATCGATGCGCTCCGCGGCATGGACGTGCGCTCACGCGCCGCCCGCCGAGCTGCTAACAACCTCGCGCAGTCCAACGAAGGTGCTCCCTCAACTCCGGCCAATGATGACGACTCCTCGGAGTACGAATCGGCGGTCGAGGTACCTTCCACTCCGGAGGTTCACACCTCCCGTTCCGCGGCAGCCACGCCTGGGCGTTTCGCTCCTGCTCCGGCCTCGCCGGCCTCGCAGTCCCCTTTCCGTAGGGCTTTTAGGCGTCTCTGGTTCCGGGATTCTTCGTGACTTGTTCATTGAAGAGAGTGCTAACAGATGAGAAGGAATGGAGGCTTTCCTCATGTACATAGCTTGCGCGGGGGGATAGTCCCCGTCGTTCAAAATCAATGTCTCTTGCGCTTCGCGCGCTCACCATTAACTTCCTTCGTAGGTTGCGAACCTTTCTTCGCACGTGGCGAAGTTTTCCTCGCGTCCTGCGAGTTCCGTTTCTCGTATACATCCAGTGCTTCGGTGTTCTCGAGACTCTCTCTCGGTTCCCAGGTTGCCTCCGCATCCTCGTATCCTCGCCACTTAACCAAGTAAGTGCGGGTCTTCGCACCTCTGTGCGTAAGGATCTTGTCGATCTCATATTCGACATTTCCGTCAACATTGACGGGTGCGGGTGCGCTCTCCGCGCTCGGAACTTTTCCTTTATGCAGTTCTAGCACCGACACATGGTGCGTGGGGTGTAGTAACCTGAACCGAGGAGTCATGCGTAGTCGATACGCCTGTGTTCCAATCCTATCTAGGATTTCGAATGGACCTATCATCTTATGGTCTAATTTCGCGCTTGGTCTTCCCGTTGCGAAGTTCTTTCTTCGCAGGTATACCCAATCTCCAATCTTAAAGCTCATTGGGGTGCGCTTTTCATCGTAATGCCGCTTCATAGCTTCTTTAGCTCGGACAATCTTGTCCCTCATGAACGCGCGCATCTCCGTGATCTCGGCAACCCGCGAGGCCGCATCCGTATGATGCTCCTGTGGGTATTCGAGCACACTGCCTCGCAAGTCCGGCCGCCAGCCCATCAATGCTTCGTGGGGTGCGAGGCCGGTCGTCGCATGTATACTTCCGTTGTACGTGAACTGCGCGATTGGGAGCCAACGTGCCCAGTCATCCTGTTGCCAGTTCACGTAACTGCGCAGAAAGTACTCGAGGGTTTGATTCTGCCGCTCGGTTTGGCCATCGGTCTGTGGATGGTAGGCCGTCGAAAGGCGCCTTTTAACTGCGAGTAGCCAACAAAAAGTAGACCAGAATTCACTCGTGAATAAGGAACCTCGATCACTTACTAGATTCTCTGGCATACCCCATAGGGGTATCATGCGATCATATAACAACTCTGCGAGCTCAGGTGCGTCGATCTCCTTAGTGCATGGGAGATAAAGAACATACTTCGTGTACATCTCGACGATCACTAGGATAGCATCGTAGGTGCTCCCCCGCCAGCTTGACGGTGGCAACCCGGTGATGAAATCCATACTAACCCATTCTCCTACCCTCACCGGCGTAGGAAGGGACTGTAACGAGCCATACGGCTTGTGCCTGCGAGCCAGGTTCATTTGGCAACTGGTACACTCGCGCACATACTCCCTTACGTTCTCAGTTATTCTATGCCAATAGAATCGTCTGCGAACCGTGTTAAGGGTGCGTTTCTCAGCATAGTGCCCGCCTTGGGGATCACTATGGTGGATCCTCAGAATCTCTTCGCATATAGCGGGAATTTTTGGGATAAAAACGCGATCATTCATCCTGAGTAGTCCATCGGACGTTCTTCCCCAGGCGGATCCGTGAAGCCTCGCACCGTCGCTCTCACCCTCCAATCGACGTAGACGATCTCGACACGCAGGGTCTCTTTCCTGCGCGGCTCGAATCATTTCTACCATGGAATCTTTGAGCTGAGTGGAATAGGCCGTCTCGCCTAACATGGCTACACTCACCATGAGGCGTGGCACCAGGGGGTCTAGAATTCCTGTATCGCCAACGACTAGGTCCTCATCTGCAGCAGAGCATTCCCTCCGCGCAGGCATCTGCAGTCCATCGCAGGCATCCACATTCTCGACATCAGTCCCACTGGGATTCTGATTCTCTCGCGAGTCCTGTCTTCTCGACTGGTCCCCTCGCCGTGGGCAGTGGTTCTCAGAGACACATTCCCTCGACGCACTGGTTCGCATGTGCGCGCTAGCGCCCCCGTAGGTTTGACATGCTCTTTGGGGTGCGAGGTCTCTGCCTTCGCACCCGCCGTTATTGAAATTTTTCACACACGCCGTACGCGACGATGGCCTTTCGTCGTAACTTCTCGGTCGTGGCGTACGCAATAACGCTCTCTCTAGGCCTACGGATATACTCTCTCCGTGCCCTCCATCATTATAATTTTTCACACACGCCGTACTCGACGATGGCCTATCGTCGCATTCCGGGCGTGGCGTCCGTAATGATGGGACCGGGTCAGCGAGGCTACTACCTCCGCCCCCTTCGCCGCTGTAACTTTTCACACACGCACCCGCGGGTCGTGGCGTACGCAGCGACGGACTAACTAGGCCTGCGAGGATTCTTTCTTCGCAGCCTTCGTCATTGAAATTTTTCACACACACCTTCCTCGGTAGTGGCGTACGCAACGACGATTCTACTGGGTCTGCGAGGTCGCTACCTTCGCACCCTCCACTATTGTAATTTTTCACACACGCCGTACGCGACAATGGCTTCTTGTCGTAACTTTTCGGTCGTGGCGTACGCAATAGTGGCCTGACAATGCCAGTTGCTGGGTCCATTACTGGCCATCCCTTCTGAATCAACATGTTGATCGCAACTGCATCCCTAGGGGACTCTTCCCCTAGGCTGCTTCGCAGCTTCTCCTGCAACGTTGGCAGTAGCGAGTTTTCCAAAAACTCCCCTTCCTTGGGTGCGTAGTCTGGTCGACGACTCGGCGCATCCGCAGGGTTATTCTTACCTGGGCGATGCTCAATCACAAAATCAAAGGCGGCTAGCTTCTCAGCCCACCTTGCCTGACGCCTGTTCAACTCCTTCGTCGTCATGAAGTAGCGCAGGTTGGCATGGTCAGACAGCACTACGACGGGAAACTTGCTCCCCTCCAAATAGTGTCTCCAATGCTTAAACGATTCAACAATCGCAAGCAGCTCCGAATCGTGCGTTTCGTAGCGAGTTTCCGCCCCTATCATTTTCCTCGAGAAATATGCGATAGGGTGCCAGCGGCCTTCGTGGTCCTGCTGGCTCGCTATCCCTGCGATTGCGAACCCCGAAGCATCGGGTTCGATCCTAATCGGCTTATCAGGGTCGAAGTGTGCGAGGACAGGCGCGCACGTAAAGCGCCGCTTCAGTTCCTCGAAGGCCTCTCTAGCCTCTGGTGTCAACTGAAATCCCTGGGTGCGCTTATTCAAGCCTTTCACCCCTCCAGTCTTCTTAGTTAGCGCGGATAGCGGCGCCGTAATGCGCGAATATCCTTCGATGAATTTCCGATAGAAATTCCCGAAACCCAGAAATGCCTGGATATCAAAGACAGACTTGGGTTCTGGCCATCCTAGGATATTCTGAATGCGCGCGGGTTCCATAGATACCCCCTCGGGCGATATCACGAACCCTAAGAAATTGACAGACTTCGTGTGAAATGCGCACTTCGACAGTTTAGCGTATAGCTTAAACGTACGGAGCCTCTCTAGCACCATTCTCACATGTCGAGTGTGCTCTTCCTCAGTTTGCGAATATATGAGAATATCATCAAGATAAACCACACAGCAAACGTCGAGCAAGTCACTCAGTGCGCGGTTAATGTACGACTGAAAGGTCGCAGGTGCGTTAGCTAGCCCAAATGGTATGACTGTATACTCAAATGTCCGTAGCGGGTACGAAACGCTGTTTTCCACTCATCACCTTCGCGAATGCGAATCCGGTGATAGGCGTCTTTTAGATCTAATTGCGTATAGATCTTCGCACCTGCGAGACGGTCCATCGTCTCGCCTACCAAGGGTAACGGATATCGGTTCTTTATCGTTAACTCGTTCAAACCCCGGTAGTCTACACATAGTCGCAGCGAGCCATCCTTCTTCGGCACGAAGATAATAGGCGCTCCAGCTGGACTCTGAGAAGGCCTAATCCAGCCTCGCCGTAGACACTCGTCTATATACTCTCTCAGAACTGCGAGCTCTTTCGCAGACAGAGGGTAGATCGGCTTATGCGGGGGTTGCGCACCCTCTTTCATATCGATCGCATGATCATGATCCGCATTCTCAGGTAGTCTTTCTGCGTTCGCAGGATTAAACACATCCTCAAACTCCGCATACTGCATAGGGAGCGCTCCTCCACCCGTTACCGCAGCAAAGAACGGAATCGCCCTCTCCCCAGCGAGGAAGCGAGGATACACCGCTAGCGCATTTGCCCCAGAAAAAATATCTGTCATACAGGCGGCCGCAGTTATCCTTTCCGCTCCCCGATACGAAGTGCGATAGCGCCAGGTGCGCGTTCGCCAGCAGATATCTGGATTAACATCTGTTAACCAGTCCATGCCGATGATCATGTCGAACCCCGACATATTAACGGCCTCGCAGGTTAATTCGTGGTTTCGCACCACGCCTGCGCTATCACGCATCTCTAAATCTAGATCGTGCGCGCCGTACGACTGGACATCATGTCCGTCCATCGCAATAACAAGTCGAGGGGGCGTAGCACTATCTTCGCAGTGCTGCTTAGCCTAGCGCTGATGGACAAAACTCCGCTGAGCTCCACTATCAATCAACGCCCTTGCGAGTTGAGTTCCCTCGCGGGTCGACACTTCGACCTCGCACTCAAAGGCCCATTCGCTTCGCCTCTCTGTCTTTAAGCCTAATGCTGCGGCGAACCCATGCATTGGCTTTAACCATTTTTTGTCTTAGGTGACTGATCCATAGGTGCACTTGGACAACTGTGTGCATAATGCCCTTTTTTCTGGCAGTGGTGGCAAGTGATGTAGGGGTGCGAGGTCGCACTCGTGTCGAGGTGATCCTCCCTTTTCCGTTTAAAACCCCTGTTTCTTTCATCACTGCCGCCATTGGAATTCTTTTCATGGTTCCGGCCCCTGCGAGCCATCCCCGCGGGCCGTGGTCCCGTGTTCGATTTCGCACGGGTGCCCGAATTATCGTTTGTAATTCGCGAACTAAGGTTGGCATCATTTTTGCTCTCAAACCTAGTCGCTTCATTTTTTGTTGCTCGCTTCCTTTCTGGGATCTGCGATTCAACAGTGCAAAGGTGCGCGATATAGCCGTCGTATGTTTCTGGCTGTTCCGGGTATTTCATGGCCTCGGATCGCACCTGTTCTTGCACCTTCGCCCATAGGTGTTCCTTGCGATGTACGTCTCCGTACGGGTGTCGTAGGCGTCGATGGATCCTATCTAGCTGCGTTGCAAATTCACGAACACTCTGGGTTGGTTTCTGATACGCTCGGTGATAATCTCGCACAGCATCGCGATAGATACTTTCGGGATCGTTAACGAAGCGTAGGCAGAAGTCCTGGAATTCTTCCCAGGTCGGCTGTCGGGTGAGCTTCTCAACGTGAGATTGCCACTCGTTATGTCTGTCGTCCGCGAGGTACTGCGAAGCTGCGAGCACCTTGTGCGGCGAATATGCGAACCAGACAGGGTGCGTATCGAAGTAGTTACGCAGCCTATTCTGGAACGTGTCGTATTCCTGGGTCGAGCGACCGTGGAACGTTTTGATGCGAGTATCCTCACGAGGCGCGTGAAGTCTGGTAGCCTCAATACGTCGCAGTGCGAGGGTCTCCGGGTCGAGATCCTCGCTACGAGTCTCATCCTGCGAGGGGTTGTTTAACCCTTTGAGTTTCTGGATGATTTCTCGTTTCTTTTTCTCTGCTTCCTTCGTAGCGAGCTCCTTCTCGAGCTCTTCCAGGGTCAGATTTTCGTAATCAACCTCCATGTCCACCGTACCGTGAGCGGTACCTTCTTCGGAGGAAGTGTCGTGCCGCGCAGGTTCACTCTGCTGAGTCGGCACACCGATATCGATCGGGAAATCATCGTCTCCTTCGATGACTAGGCTCGGGTTCTGGCTTCGCGCCTGGAAACGGGTACGGTGAGGGTGCGACATGGTTGCGAAGGTCCTTCTATCGGGCAAATCCGAAGTGTTTTGAGCGATTAGAACTGTAAGACCCCGTTACGAGGGTCTTGGGACTTAGGTGGATTCGGGCAATAGAATGGAGAAAGCAGTAGACAGGTTCAATGCTGAACTAATCGCTGGAGTCCAAGACTCCAGCCTCTGAACTGTTTATATACAAATGTGGGGTCATGTGAGGTCATGAGCCCTCGCATTGCGGGTCTCAGCCCTGGGTCTAGTTCGCAGGTGCGAACTGGCCATCTCGCAGTCTCACACAGACTGCGAGATATATATCGTCAGACCTGCTTAGTACTTGGGTCCTGACAGGGGTTCTAGTGTTTACAGGATAGGGCCTGTCAACTAGGTAAGACGAAGATGGCTCCGGAACAGATGTATTATGTGAATAGTACAGAGACTGATTCTTGGGGAACTTCCAGGTTCCCAAGAATGGACTATTTATCATTGATAGGAGCGGGGTAGAGTGGCGGTCAGAGTACGCTCTGTGATCGACAGTGACACGCTGGCGATAACCCGTCTCTATGACAGGACTCTGAAGATTCAGGATCCACTCCGTTACACCCGGCCCCTGGGTGAACGCGCGCTGACACCGGACAATACGTGTAAATTGCTGGATATGCCGTTCAGCTGCCGATAAACCTTGTTGGCGCCGACTACCGCCCCGGTTTGGAGGTGCGATCCAGCCATGCTGATCTCGCCAATGCTGTTGTATAGTCTTTACTGTACGTGCGAGATATTGGCAAAACTGGCCCTTCTCGCATAAAATACCATCGCTATAAACTGGTAAATTCGGGATTGGGTTATTAACCACAGTCGGTGGCTGCCATTCGTCGCATTCCTCTGTACGGTCCCAACTCTGAACCGCCTCGGCAATTTGGCGCGCTTTTGGCTTCTTAATACGATGATTCGCTGATTGGAGGTGTCGGAAGACCTCTTTCGGCCGAATAACGTACTCGCATAACTTACACACGATCACTGGTGTAGTAGATGGCTGGTAAAAAAGTTGATGTTCCATTGTAGTAGTTAGGGTGAGTAATGAAGAAAAACAGTGGAGGATAACTGTAGTGAATGGTTAGAGGAAAAAGTCGAAGAGTGCAGGCAAATTAGTGTAAGAAGAATTTTAATATCGACGGGGCATCGTTTCAGCCCCCGTTACCCCTCCTGTTTGTACTAAATATATATATAATACGAAGATCGACGTTGCATAATTTAGCCCGGGGCGTTAAATTGACACATCAAACCACCCATTTCCCCACATAGGCAGGGCATTCATTGGCCAGCCAGGTAGGACAGTCATCCTATTTTAGGGCGTTCACCGGCCACACAGGCTCAACGCACCATTAGCCAGCCAGGCAGGGCCTTCAGCCCATTCAGGCATGGCAGTCATCCCATTTCAGTCCATTAACTGCCCACGCAGGCTCAACGCACCATTAGCCAGCCAGGCAGGGCCTTCAGCCCATTCAGGCATGGCAGTCATCCCATTTCAGTCCATTAACTGCCCACGCAGGCTCAACACGCCATTGGCCAGCTAGGAAGGGCCCTCAGCCTATTCAGAAATCGCAGTCATCCCATTTCAGTCCATTCCCAGCCCACGCAGGCTCAACACGCCATTGGCCAGCCAGGAAGGGCCCTCAGCCTATTCAGAAATGGCAGTCATCCCATTTCAGTCCATTCCCAGCCCACGCAGGCTCAACACGCCATTGGCCAGCCAGGAAGGGCCCTCAGCCTATTCAGAAATCGCAGTCATCCCATTTCAGTCCATTCCCAGCCCACGCAGGCTCAACACGCCATTGGCCAGCTAGGAAGGGCCCTCAGCCTATCCCAGGGCATTCATTGCTCATATAGCACGGCATTCATCATATATATATACAACAGTTAGCCTAATATGGTTTGAATGGCTGAATAACATGAATATGGAGAGCAATATGAATGTGGTGAGCAATATGAATGGCATATATGTTGGAAATGGCTAAATAACATGAATATGGTGAGTAACACGAATAGCTAAGCAATATGAATGGCTGAATAACGTGAATAGCATATATTGTTGGAATAGCTGAATAACATGAATGTGCTAAGCAACACGAATAGCTGAGCAACATAAATGGGTGAACACCGTGAATGTGGTGAATAACATGAATAGGGAGTGGTGTTGGGTGTAGTGCCAAGCCTTTCTTGCCCCCATCAAAACATTTCTCATTTTTGATCACCCTCTACCCCACATATATATGCTCATATAGTCTAAAAATTGACCGAGGTAAATAAAACACTCTATATTATAATCTCTGAAAATTTCAGATCTATCAGATGTCTGTAGCCCTCGGCAGTGGGGGCGCGCAGTTTACCTGAACTCAGGATGCGACCCGCTTATCTTATCGTGGTGACCAAGTGGCTGCCTCAGGCCCCGGTCGCACCTCCAGATTCCCGCACCCCATCAAAACATCTCGAAAAACCCGGCATTTTCAATCACCATTTCCTCGATAACCAGAGGGCTGTGCAAGCTCCGGAGCAAATGGGGGCAAATTCACATATGCCATTTTAACTTCCTAAAATTTCAGAGCGATCAGAGGCCTCTAGACCTCGGCAGTCTGGCGACGAAATTTGTGCGCAGTCAGGCGTGCGACCCACTTTTCCTCCCATAGTAAAGGAAAAACCCTACCCTGCAGTCTGCCAGACTGCACCACCCCCCGTGGGATAGGGCTGTGCAAGCTCCGGAGCAAATGGGGGCAAATCCATATGTGCTATTTTAACTTCCCAAATTTTCAGAGCGATCCGAGACCTCTAGACCAAAGGAGTCTGGCGACGAAAAGAACCTGAAGTCTGGCGTACGACCCACTTTTCCTCCCATAGTAAAGGGAAAACCCTAACCTGGAGTCTGGCAGACTCCAGGTACCCCCGTGGGATAGGTGAATACTGTCACGAAGAATTCAGGATCAATGATCCTGAACCGATTCTGCCGTGTTCCACCGCCTTTCGTAGTTCGTGTTTTACATTGTTTGATTGGAGGCCTCAGGCATCACTACCTTAATTGTTTCAGCGTGTTGTTCTTTCTTTCTTCTTCTTTCTTTCTTTCCCCATGTTTAGTATTCTAGTTGAATGCACTCTTTTTCATCAAGACTTGGCTCGTAACATAATACTAAACATCACCAAAACACTTTACTGAGCAGCACGACTGTACAAACCATCATTGTGATTGGTTTCAGCCCTGCTCAGCCCCACTTCGCGTTCCTTGGCATCGTAGAGCCAAGACCTCCGAACCGAACCGAAAGATCGACAGAACCGACCAATCAGCAGCAAGAATGGCTGATTCGAAGAAGAAGACTCCCCGCATGACTCGGAGCCAGCAAACGAGACTCGCTGACAGCGATGATCAAGAAGAAACGACCACACATGATCCGACTTCGATTGAACTCCCTCCCTCCGACCCTTCGTCACCAATACGAGGACGAAGCCAAAGCACCGGTGCTAGTCTAGTTCATTCGCATCTAAACTCACCAGCGGTACGCGACACTCTCGCTCGGCAGGATGCACGACAGCGCTTCGAAACAATGGTCAAGAAGTACAAAGAGCTTGAAGTCAAATTCAACGAGCTAGAAATCAGGAAGAATGCTATTAGCAAAGAACTTGAAGAAAGCGTCATGCTCCGAGAGCGAGCTGATGAAGAACGTGAGGAAGCGATTGCTCACCTGATGATCGCAAAGGAGAAAGAAAAGACGGCAGTGGATGCTAGAAATGAGATGGCATACCAGCTGCTACAATCAGGAAACCACCAGCGCAGCGCATCGATTGTGGAGGCTGTAGCTACAATCCCTCGTGTTCAGAAAACGACCAAGATGCCTGATGCTCCTATGCTAAGTGATGGCAAGGAAGTTCGCTTCGAAACCTGGCAAACAGTGATCCGACAGAAGCTGCTTGCTAATGCAGATCATTACCCCGATCCGATCCACCGAATGATATATGTCCAAAGCCGTTGCGAAGGAAAGGCACAGTTACACATCGCACCAAGAATGGATCCTGAATCAGCTACTCACTACACCGATGCAGAAGATATTCTCATGCACCTGAAAACAGTGTTTGCCAACCCAAACAGGAAGGCCGAGGCATACACTCAGTTCCACAAATTGAAAATGAAGCCAAAGGAGAACTTTACCGATTTTCTGGCTAGCTTCATGCAGCTTGCCGAAGAAGCATGTATTCCAATCGAAAACCGCAAGCAAGATCTTTATCTTATGCTTCCATACTTGCTACAAACCCAGGTGATGCTCCAGAAGAATCAGAACACAGTATCTTTCGATGAATTTGTCCAGATCTGTATCAGTCTGTCCCACGACATCAACGTTCAGCAAGAATCACGATCTGGTAACCGAGCACGAATTTCCAGTTCCGGAAACAATATCACTTCCTCGTCGACAGGTTCAACCTCCACGACTCGAATCAAGAAAGAAAACTCAGGATTCACTCCGTTGCCATTTACTGAAAGACAAACACTGATGAGAGAAGGACGTTGTTTCAACTGTAAGGAGCAAGGCCATATGACTCGTGATTGTCCCAAAAAGACAGGTCCAGCAACCACTGCAGCAATTACTCAAGTTCCTGCTCGCAACCCCTCTCCTCGCATCGAACTGGAAGAATTTGAAAATCAGGATTCGGGAAAAGCACCTGCCTAGGCGAAGTCTCCCTCCTAGGCGGAAAAAAGGTGTCACTTTATTCATTGAATTTACAGAAGTTACTTGGAAGTCCATATGATAGTTTAGTGTTTAACACAGAGCTCATGATCAATGGACGTTCCTTTTCTATTTCAGCACTATGTGATACCGGAGCAGATGGTTCAATTTTCATCGACACAGCTTTAGTAGCTTTGCTATGCCAACAGCAAGGTCTACGAGTTCAGAGGTTAGAAAGGCAGTGCCCAGTGAATGGATTTGATGGCAAGCCAGCTAGACCTATCACTCATGCAGTTATTCTTTCAATGTACA